CACCCTAGCAAGCGACTACACGCCCCCAGCCCTCACAACCATCCCCCTCAACCCGCACACGCCCATCTACCTCGGCGACGTCTTCTGGCCCCCCACCATGACGCTGCTCGCCTGGCTGCCTAGCGAGCAGAAAACGCCTACGGACTGGTGCTGGAAGGCGACTGATGTATCCGGGGGGCTGTTTAGTCTCGGGGGCGTGGATGCGTTGAGGGTGCATGATTATTTTGGCGGGAGCGGGAGCGGAAGTGAGAGTTGTGATGTGGAGGAGGGGACTTTGAGTGGGAATGCGTATATCAGTAGAGAAGGCAAGCGCTGGGCCGACTGTAGGATCACGCCGGAGAGCGGGCGCATGGGTGCGTGCGAGGGGGTCAGGGGATGGGATTGTGAGGGCGGACATCGCTTTACGGGGCCTGGGACGAGGCAGTGGAGTTGTTGGGTTAGGGATGTGATGGGGTATGAACGGGCTGTGGGCAGTAGGAATGGGACACAGCAAGTGGAAAGGGAAGGGGGGATTACGGATGCGCTGGCGAAGGGTACGGAGGTTGTGACGGGCGCTGTGGCTAGTGGTTCGATTGTTGGGGCGTTTACGGCGGGGGTTACTGGGATTTGAGGGGGTGGGGGATCAAGGGGATGTGTTGATTGCTTTTGTGAGGGAGGGAGGGTTGCTTGATATGATATGTGCAGGATGGATTGGTTGGTTGTATATACAAAATAAGGAATACAGTAAACGAATGATGAGCCTCAAAGTAACTTTAGCTTTTAATCAAACTGCTTTCGCGGCCATAGCAGCCGCATGAGGGGCAATCAGAGTATCAAACTCAGTAGTCCCATAATAGATCGTATTCCCATCATTAGCCGTCTGCCCCCAGAGAGCGTGTCTCCATACTGCCAATACATATCCCCCGCCGTCTGGGTACTCAGCACCCATTGCTGCCATGTTAGATCCACCGTGTGGTTAGTTGGCCCGTACTCCTCGAGGATTACTGGCTTGCCAAGGGCGGTGCCAACGTCGGCGTGGTTTTGGATCCATTGCTGAGCCCACGTGTCATTTTCTCCCCATGAAGAGGGATACAGGTGGTAGGTGCCGAAGTCGATGGTGGAAAGGGCGAGGTTGTCATGGAAACTTTCTCCTTCGCCGGAGCTGTATACATAGTCGCCACTAGCGCCGCCGCTGAGACCAAATCCTTCATCGCCAATGGCGACCATGTCTACAATACAGTACGAGTTAGCTTTGCCCATTTGAAACTTCTGTTCAAAAGTAGAATGGATATCTCTTACGGTTTGGATCTAATCCCTTGATGTACGCTGAAGTTGTATTGACCCAACTTGTAATCACAGATGTATCACAGCCACTGCAACGCGGTTCATTTGCAAGTTCCCAGGCAAAGATGTTCTTCGATGTCTTGTATCGAGCCACAACAGCAGCAATATATTTCTGATACTGAGCTTGAGCAGCAGTGGAAGTATACCATGCAGTGTTAGCTGAGAGACCATAGTAGCTGACGTATGCAGCCATGCCGCCATAATCACTCCAATTGTTGACAAAGTTGATGATCAGACTGATGTTATGAGCTTCAGCAGATTGTACGACGTAGTCGAGGCGTTCAAGTCCATCGCTTCCTGTGTTGATCACAGGATCTGAGCCATTGATAAATGATTGATACCAGACGGTTCCGGAACTAGGTGTGGAAGTTACGTCGTTGAAGCCCCAAACACGGAGAACTTTCAACTTGCTCTAATTATGCTTAGTTGTTGAAGTTCCGTAACAGTAAATGGCTTCTTACCGCTGCCAGGTGGGTCATGACAATGTCAACATCGGAATTGTTAGTCAGAAACCCAATCCAATAGGTATTGGTGCCTGCGAAGTATTGGGCCTCGCCATCGATTGAGAATACATTGTTCGATGGCTTTGCGTAGCTACTAAATGCAGCAGTTGCGACAGAAACTGCCGCGCAAGCAGATAGAATTGAAGAGATTCTCATATTGAAATGGCTATTCGTTCAAAGCTGAGATGAAGAGAAAGTTGGGGAGCGAGATCGAAGCATTTTAATGCCCAGGAGTAAATACGACACCTCATATGGAATTAAAAAGCAACACCCGTCGGCTCATCACATTGATTAGCTCTAAGAGCAAATAGAAACCCCAGTTGCTCCCATCCGACCAGGCAAACTTAATATCAGACAGAGTGCTCCACAGCAAGTGTGGAGAACATCAGTATTTCCCGCCTATCGAGCTTGAGAAACTTTCCTCTAAATATTCTCGGCTGGTAACAGGGACAGGGAAGGTTTGCTTGTGGCAAAAATAGAGGATCCTAGCCCTACAAATTAAAAGAGCAAGACAAATACAGTAGATGGTGCCTTGCTTCATTGTCCTGTCACCAGATCGTGGGGTAGGTAACAGGCGGCTGAATTGCTCGGAGAGACCTTCCGTCCCTAATTTGTTCAAGTGTACTTTGTCCTCTTTATCCGAAGACGAGCCCAAGTGTGACGAGATGGGGTAAGGTCCTTTGATTTGATGCAATCTCAATCTTAGTTGAATTCATACTGCGACAGATTTTGAGTTTGATGAAGGAAGAAGTCTCAAACCGAGTCGGAGATTTTGTTTTGCCTGCCCCGCTTAATTTCTCGTAGTCACATGACGGTCCCCTTCTCAAGGGCCTCCCCTCCGTTCGTTCCTTTGGTATAATGTCTGGAAATCCATTTAATTATTCATCTCACCTTTCTCAATGCCTTTTTTAAACCCCCACTAATCTAAAACTTCTCAGCAGCAGGTCTCATATCCAACTCATGTGTCCACAACTCCGGCCCCTGCTGCGAAAGCCAAAGATACGTCTTGCCCACAGCATCAGCACTCATATTCTTCCCTACCTTCTGCGCCTCTCCATCCTTATCCTCGATAATCCCATTCGCAATCGTATGCGCGACATGCACGCCCTTGGCACTGAACTCCCTCGCCAGCGTCTGCGCCAGTTGCCTTACGCTCGACCGTCCCGCTCCATACGCCGCATACTCGGCATTACATCTCAGCGCGCCCAGCGTGCCTGTAAAGATAAGTGTCCCTTTCTTCTCGCCCGTCTCGGACAACGGGGCCTCGCCGTGGTGCTCGAAGAACATCTTGAGCGCTTCTTGTGAAAAGGTGAAGGCGCCGCCGACGTATTGCTCTAGGCTCTCGGTGAAGTCCTCGTAGGTCTCGTTCAGGAAAGGCTTTTTGGATGCGTGTTTTACGGAGTAGACGGCTACTTTTAGCTTGAGGTTTTTGAAGGAGCTGTGATTGCGGATGGATTGGAAGGCGGATTTAAGCTGTATGGGTGAGGTATCGGTGGGAAAGCTCTCGATGATACTTCCTGGGGATGTCTCTTGCAGGTTTGCACGGACGCTGGAGAGGTTTTCGGGACGGCGGGCGAGGAGGGCGACAGCTAGGTTGCCGTGGGAGGGGTGAGAGAGAATGCGAGCTATACCGGTTCCCTACAAGTTTATGTGAGTTTTGTGTTGCAATGAGATGTTCTTGATTGATTGGAATAATTGAGATATATGGGGAGCCAAGAGCTACACAGTTGAGTACCAGCAACTTACAGTGTTTGGACCAGCACCAATGATAATGGCAAGACCAGAGGGAGGCATTTTCACGTTTCTTCGCTGTATAACGTCGATTAACTTGAGGCAACATGAATGTAAGAAACAGAAAACAATCGCACAAAGAAATGTTTATATATTCAACCCCTCTCGACGTCAGGTACAAACCAATGACGTCTGGTCCCTTAAGTCCGATTATATCTCCGATACAATCATCTCCGATATGACTTGGTGGGTGTCAACGTCAAGTCAATATTACAAAGCATAAAGTCTCAAGTGATAGAAGAAAAGCTTGTAAAATTGCAAAATGATGGCCAATATGTTGGGGTATAATCAATTATATTTAAGAAAATCCTACCAACCCAACATGCCTATCCGAATCCACTACCATAAGCATGTTTCAACCTCCACCATCGCTAACATGTTTCCCATAAGATTAATGTGAACTCCGCCCATAAACCTCAACTCTACTTGAAATCCCCATGCATTTTATGCCAGTCAACTTCTTTCTCAGCCGCCTCCCTATACCGCCCCTTGATATGGTCGTCAATCTGCTCCACCATCTCTTCGGTCAACGGCGGCCTGTCCTCTTGTGGACGAATAGGGTCCCCTTGAGTATCCACGGTGTATACCGATGAAGTCCACGTTCTACGTCCTTCCATGATTCGCTGCGTCCGCTCACGATCTGTTTCGATGCGGCCTTTTGTCCACACAGACTCGGTTCCGGTTCGGGGATAATGCTCCACCATGTTTTCTACCGTGGATGGAGGCCCGTGGCTGTGAGTAGGATCCGATACGTTGCGCGCTGCGAGCCGAAGTGGCTGGGGAGTCAGTGACCGGCCATCGTCATGCTCGCGATCAGGGTCATCTGTCTGGTCTCTCATCGATGACTCCACGCGCACTGTGCCGAAGGAATCACGACGATCATCAGGATATGGCTCTGGTTCTTCTTGGTTATCATAATGCGCATAGCGCATTGGCGAGAAAGGGCGGTTGATAATAGATGGTGAAGCTGGCTTGTCGATAATACTCCAAGCCGTACGGCCTGTAGTGGTTGGAGCGATTGTTTCCTCATCGAAATGTCTCCGCATTCCTCCCATCGTCGTCGGATGTTCGGATTGTCTAGTATCATCAGGCGTCAAAGATGGCACTGACTCTGGTCTCACCGGGTTCCCTCCGGGTGACCAGGCCTGCATGTCCCTTTTGGCCATTTTCGGAGAAGCATAAATCGGAGGTGGACTTCTTGTAATTGATCGGTATTCAGGCGTTGGGGTACGCACGATTGGATTGTATCCCGCCAAGGTTGTTGTTATCGAGTCGTGCGTTACAGTACTCGGCGGCGGAGCTTGTGGGGGCGTTAAGTCGGTTTTGTGAACCCATGTCTTGACTCTTTCAAGTCCTATGTTGTTTTTCTGATTGCCTTGCTCCGTCTCTTTGCTCTTGTTCCTTCTTCTCCAGCAAAACCATATGAGGAAAAGTGCGAATATGACAGCAACTGCGGCTGCGGGTCCGGCTATGAGGCCAGCATTTACATGTCCTGCTCTCTTGCTACCTCCAGATGGTACTAGCAGAAATAAGGAGTTAGCTGTAAGTTTGGGGGGTTTGACACTACATTTATTCAGGAACCATGACATACTCGGAACATATCCAGAGCTGGAACATGCGAAAGAAACGAATAGGATTTCTCATATCTTACCTGACGGTGTTCCTGAACTTGAAGATGTTACGCTTGTGGCGAAGGTCGTTGGCTTGCCATTGTTTGGCAAGGTAGTTGTTGCTAGTACTCTGAAAGTAGCTGATATCAGTACTGTAACAAAGCTGGGTCAGTGATAGATGTACGTACGTTGTAGTAACGGAGCCCTGGGAAACTGAAACTGGTACGTCAACCCAATAGGTCCTCGTTTCACCAATCCCTGCGGCAGTATCGGTTGTCAAAGCGCTCGAATAATAATTCGTTGTTGTCACTTCAGCATCTGACTTGGTTGTTGTCGAGGAACCATCAACTACCACTGTAAATGTTGGTGTCTGGGTTACAATTGTGAATGTCGCTCTAGCATTTGTCAGTATGCTGATTGTTGAAGAGCCGCTTTGAGTGTTCGATGATGTAGATGTCTGTTGAGCGACCACGCCTCTGATGGGAGTACAGGCCCAGAAGAATAAGACATATGAGAGTGGTGTTAGTATTTTCGACCTCCTGCTGGTAAGCGTTAGTGTGAGACGATGAATTGAATCATCATAATTCAATACAGAGCAACTATTCAACGCAAAAACGATGGCAGAACCAAGGGTCCTTTGGAATGATATCCCGCTTTGATTCTAATATTAGAGTGAAACATAGATGGTCAACAACGTACGAGTTGGAAATTGCTGCGGATGATGATGCAGCGGAAGCAGCAGAGGCGGAGGATGCTGAGGACGCTGAGGATGCTGAGGATGCTGAGGATGCGGAGGCTGCTGCGGCTTGGGCCGCGGAGATAGATGCTCTTGATGCCGATTGCATCGATGCTATGGATGAAGCGCCTGGAGAACCTTCCATGATGAGTAGATGGAGTTGTCCGTGAGGCTATTAGGGTGTTGATAGTACTGTTGCTTCAACGAAACGAAACGGCGCAAAAGACAAAGGTGTGGAATTTGTCAAGGTTGAGAGGCTAGAAGTCAGTCACCATGTTCCTCAATACTTATTGATTCAGCGAGTACTGATGTGTGAATAAGGCTTGAAATCAACTATGATTCATAGGATTCAATGTGGCTAAGTTTAACATGTCCCTTCTATATCAATACTCAAACTGAAAACCATAACACACGTCGTAGAACTACAGAGTGAGGTGGGGTAGCTAGCTCAAACTATCAAAATTTTCGGGAGCCCTTTGCATACGAAACCAGGAAATGGCAAGAACTTACGCAGATATTTGGACTATCGATGGGGTTGAAGATGGGTTGGGAATTGAACCTTTTAATCACTTACACAGACTATACCTTTATGAATCAATTTGAGGGAAGACCGTGAATAACATAGTTTAATGAGTCAACTTACCCTCGTGGCGTATATCAAGTTCGAAGAGATCTCCGGATCCTTGGCTCTATGAATGCCCCAAGGCTTCCTTCCGGCTAGTTTCCATGAGTCGAAACCTTCAGAGCAGCCAGCTTCCCGTTTACACACCACCTGACCTGCTAACATTGCAGACACTGCACTTTTGCGGTCCATTTCCTTTTCCACTAGTCGTGATTCACTTGTTGAGTTATCGCCAAAACATCTCGCATAGTAATACAATCATCAAGCAAGTCCCATAACGCCTTGTCAGGTATTCCTTCCATCTTTCAATCTAGAGCATGCGCATCCTCTACCACCAAGCAAATAGCTTTGCCCAGGTCTCGAGACTGTGAGCAATCTCGGATACGGAGCGGATGATAGACTGTACGCGTATAGAAGGATATAACTGGGGTTCTAGTGGGTTTGCAGCGAAGATGAGGGTGACAATGGAAGGTTTAGAGGTTCGGAATACTGGGGATCCCACTAAGACGATCAAGGTTGAAAGGCTGGAAAAGATGTTGGGCAAAGACGTAGATGATGATAAAGATACCTATTACCTACCTCGGTAGATAATTTTGATTCACAAAGTCTTGAAAGTTGACCTATTCGCGGGTTATTAGCTAGACTCAGAATTAGTAGTAAATCATACCAGTTCCGTCTCCCCTCCCCCCGTCTGGTGGCTTTCATTAGATTAGATAATATCCCATTGTACAAGTTAGTAATTTTAATATAATTATTATTCTTTGGAATTTTCTTTGTCCCCTACCTGAATGAAATGTTCAGATACGATACCCGCCGATTCAGCGGGCTTGGTAGTCGTTCTCTTCAATTTCCCCGTGCTCCTGCTCAACGAAGCGCCTATCGTATAGTAAAGCTTTGAAGGTCTGGATTTCCCATACTCTCGCCATTCATAATGCCATGAATATAAGCCTCTCCGACCAGGATGTAGTGATCATGCCGCTTCCGAAGGATGAAAGGCACTTGGCCGCCAAGCAAAACACTCACGATATCCCCTAACTCTGTCTCTGCCGGTACGAGGCCCATGTACCCGGTTGTTGTAGTAGCGAACCGGCGACCATTGCATACTCGTTTGATAGTGTCGCGAATCTCTACAAGATCTGCGTACATTTCATCCGGTTGTTCAAATTTCTCCAAAAACATATGAACGTTGACGTTCGTGGGGAGTCTAACTGCTGCAAGCCACCGAGCCATCAGTTCGTTCGTCACATTGTAATCATTGCCATCCTTTAGCTGGGCCGCGAAGATCGTCTGGAAGAGGGCAGTATCGGTGCTTTGGCCTGTAGTGTACGGTTCCAATTCTACTGCTAGTTTCCTCCATTGTTGCAATAAGGGTTCTGGAAATGTATTTTCGCCATCATAATAGGCGTCTCCAAGTTTATGGATAACTCCAACAAGATGCCCGGCAACTTTCAATGCGCGACGATCATCTGAGATAACTGCATCTGAAAGCTGTCCCATGCAGGCGGAATACTTGCAATGTGGTTCGAAGGGCATACTAGGAGTCATGATCAAGTTTGTTAACAGCGCTATCCTGCTCGAGCAAATGCTCCAGTCTGGGACCCAAGTTGGGAGGTTATTGAGCGAAGAATTCACCTGTCCTCCGCATATGGCGTCAAGGTTCCTTTTTTGTTGGATCCAAGATATTGTAAAATCAACGAAAACTTCCGTTACAGCCTTGTTATAATCAGGGAGAAAGCTTATGTCACCACCATCGGTGGGACTAGTGACTATACTTTGATCAGCAGGCTACGTTGGCTTCGTTGTCACTGATCTAATAAGAGGGATCGTAGAGCTCGCTGCGTTTGCACTATGCCAGAACATGATAGCATCACCCACCGAGATCAGCCAAAGATAGTTCCGCTACTTCGCCACGAGACTCGTTTTTAGATATGGGGCTGTAAAATGAATGGGCGTACCTCTGAGCTTATAGCTTTCCTTGCCTTCAAAATTCATGTCAGGCCGGAATGGAAGGAATCCAGCCGCTGTATCGGCTGCGATTCCTAGCATAGCATAGATCTTATCTCGCGGATCTGTCGACTTGGAACTCCGGGCTTCGTGCATATAACGTAGTAATATCTCCAACGCACTACTTCGATTTCTCTTCTCGGCAAATCTAAACAAAATTGGTGGCTCCTTGATACCCTCTTTCAAAAAAATACGGTTCCTACCTCCCCATGCCCAAATCGAGGTGGTGAGCTGCGACCACGTGACTTTATCACTCCCACACAGGACGTCAACAGCAGAGGATACAAGTACCTCTTGAAACACCCATACCCTTCCAAACCATGCGCGGGAGAGGATCCGATTTACGGCCTGTTTCGGTTGCTCTGCGATTGCGCTCACGTCTAAAAACCCTCGACCTTCTTCCTGGGCTAAGAACTTTCTCGGATCTCTAAAGTATGCCATACCCAAAGCGCTATCCTCATCCTCCTCACCAAGGTACACTTGAACTTTCGACGCTAATCTGTAAACGTCTGATATTAGGAGAATTTGTTGGTTGCGTTCAGGGATGTCGTTTTGATTGATGCAGATCGAATCGATCCAGATGGGAGTGAGCTCATCCTCCAGACGCAGACGCCGCAAAGCCGACGCGCAGTTTGCTGTAATTAGAAGCTGACCCCCACCATTGTCGCATTCCACTATTTCTTTCAATGTGGTGTCTCCCCATGTGTATGACAATGCCCTATAAACGGGACGTTTATCAAGGCGGACGTGAGATATTGTGACCTGAAGGTGTGGATCTGAGACGGCAAGCGCGGTTCCAAATCTGATGACCCTGATTTCCAGCGGGTGTTGTAGCGGATTATACCTATACATCTCGTGATCTTGCGTAAATATCGTAAGCAAATACAATCAAGGGCGAAATTAGGCAGCAGTAAAGTTGAAATCTGTTGCTAAAGTTGTCTAACTCACTGCTGTCTGGTGTAAAAAAGCAGGAACGTGACTGAGCAACCTGAGCAAAGGCGAGGGTGAGTAGCGCCTGAGCAGAGCGGCGGTGCTGACTAAACGCGTTGGAAGCGACGCAGGTTAAGATGCGGCGCAGATTACCATCAAAACTTCCTCCTTAAACCAACTCCCCATCATAGGGTGCAGGACAACCCTTGCATTCGCAATAGAATTCGCAGACTCCGTCTGCACCTAAGAAGTGAGATCTCATGCTCAGGGCGCTTGTGGCTAGCGACGCCAAGACGTGAGCTAACAACACGCAATGCCATTCGGGTTGAACTCCAAACACACTCGCCTCAAGCTTCGGACAACAGTACAGACATAGAGACAAAGCTTCTCACTCAATTCAAAATCTTAAAGACTCTTTTGAGCATGGCTTCTTCCAGAATAACAGTATCAACTGGAAATTCAACCGTAAGCTTGGAAGCTATAGTACTCCGTCCTCGTCACTTGCAGCTGAGGCATTCATACAATGGTTTGATCGAAGGCTTGTTATCCACAGAGTCAAATCTTACATGTAAGTCGAGTGGCCACTTGCCACATTTACTTAATACAAAGGTGACTGATCAGAATCGCGGGATTGAGCCTCCCTTCTTGAGGATCCACTTCAACTTCGATTCCAAGCAAACCTGAGCATTCTCATGGCAAGAGCGACAACGCTAATGTGCGACCTCATCTCCAATCGACACCTCTACACTCGCGAGAGGCCGTATATTCTGACATGGCGGCTGGAGATGCCAAGCTCGTTCTGATTGAGCCTTTGCGGCAGTATCAGCTCCCACAAGCCCATCACCACCTCTCTAGCAAATTCTTCCACCCTCTACATGTGCTGCAACATCATTATAACACCCAGCATCACATGGCAAACGACAGGTTACGCTTAAGTACAACGCAAACTTCCACAACGAGTTCACAAAGGGGGGGGTTGGAGAAGAAGAAAGGGGGGTTCGCTAGACTATTACCCCGCATTCCTAATCTGGAAATAATCTGCCTACGAAAGGGGGCATCGCATCTCCTGACCCAAACCCCACACCTTTGCTATCAAACAAATAAACAAGCAAACACAGGAGCACGCTGATCTTACCTCTTCTTCTAATCTATACCCTCACAATAAAACCCTCACGTGCACCCACATCCGCCTGATCCGCTCCGTTGGCATCCGACCCATGCCATGCCCCTCCCCTCTTTCTACGCGCATACTCTGTAACCTCCGACATCCGAGCACAAGAGATGCACCCCGCAATCCGGTCTCGCACCTTCAGAGCATGGAGTACCGGTACCTTTTATCCGTGCCGGAATGTGATCATGATCATGCCACCAAATTACTGTACTGTACTTGGGATTCTAGATCATCTTATCAGATCATGCTCATGCCATGCTGTGGAAATCAGAATCTACGGGCTAGGTAAGGTAGCTAAGTCCGAGATCTTCATTTACTGAAAGATAACTGAAAGATACCTATGCATAAGTATATGCATTAATTATCCTCGTACTATATGAGTAAAGTAAAATAAACAGAAAGGCAAAATCGATTTAAATATATTCTCAAAGCGTGTGAAGAAATACAATACTGTACAACAAGTGATCTAATCTGACTAACTACTATCCATCCCCATCCCCAAAACCCTCTCTAACGATGATTGATTCGCTTACCCATAGGCTTCTCCGCAGATAGCCTCACCGACACCGACTACCCTTTTCTACTGTACGAGTATGCCCATCAAGCATATACCGCACGCACCAGAAACAACAACACAACACACACTCGCAAAGAAAGCATCTTCTCACAAACCTTCTCCCTCCCATTCATTGCTGCCCAACCCAAGTCCCTAACATGCACGTACAGTATGCTTGGCTTGCTCTTCTCATACACCGACCGTGTCATCCTCCGTATACTTAATGAATCAATTGATCAATCATTTGATACCTAGGTAGGTAGCTACCTTAACGACATAGCGGTGAAGTTCATTCGGCCGCTGCGCCTACCAGCCCAGCCTTGATCTTCCTTTCCTCTCCTTTCCTTTTCTTTCCCTCCAAGCTTCTTTCTCGTCTCATGTATTATAATGTCATGTATCACAATATACAATCCCGACCGTACCGTATAAATATATCTCCTAACCCTAGTCTCTTCTCAGTCCAGTAATTCAAAAGACCAGATATCCCATCCATCCGCCTGCTCTGCTCTATCCATACATACTGTACAGTACCGCACCGCTATCTAACCGCAAACGCGAACGCGAATGCGAATGCGAAAGCTTAAATCATATATGTACCTACAGTATACGCGCCGCGTCGCACTTCGTTCCATTCCGTTCCACTAAACCCTAAACCCCTCCCTTTACCTCATCTAGATCATCCATACAGTACAGTACACCTACCTGGCCAGCCTAGGCATTTCTAAAGATGCGCCCGGCGCAAAAAGAAAAGAAAGAAAAAAAAATATTTAATCAGCGAAAAGCCGACCGTAAAGCCCGAGCCCGAGCTAGAGCCCGATGATGCCGAGTTGCCTAGCCTAGCCTAAGCCTTGCGCTGCGTTGCGCTTGCTGACGTGATCCCTGTACGGACGGAGCGGAATGATTTGGCATCGTGTGGAATGGCATGGGGTAGGGGTTTAGCGGTGAAGTTTTTAAGTGGAAGGAAAAGGAAAGGAAGAGGAAAATTGGAGGGAGGGAGTGAGAATGAGTCAGGAAATGGGTATCAACGAGAAACTTTGGATCACAGAGCGAGGAGAAGCAAGGTAGATTTTTTTGTGGATGATTCTTGATTTTTTTTTTTTTTTTTGATTTGTATTGTAGTTGTAGGTGCTATGTATAGATATATGATATTAGAAGCTCGACCTCATATTCAAGGGAGCACTGAAATATATGCCATCCCATTCAGATCCCTTCAACTCCTCCCAATGCGTGCGTGAGTGAGTGGAGTCTGATTCTAACCTTCCCGTTCCCCGAATAATGAAAGAACCCCCCAAGAAAACCATGGGTATTTAAATATAAACCGAAACGAAATTGCGCCGCCCAATGCTGATGTGTGTGATATGCTCGCTCGCTCGCTGAATCGCTGAAGAAGACCCGTTCCCGTATCCCATAACTCGTTATACACTGATTTGAGTGACTGCGAGCCGCAGCCTCAGTATGCCGAAATGGCGTTCACGAGCCCCGGCGTCGTATTCCTCTGAGGCAGGTAAAAGCCCTCTTCGAAAAACGCCTTTTGTTGACTCTCAGGCACTGCTCCAGCTTCCGACGCGTAGTAAGATGTAGTTGCGATTTGCTGGCGTTGCTTTTCTGAGAATGTGGGCATGGTGGTTGAGGGAGGTGAGGGAGGCATGGATTCGTCGTCTGAAGAAGAATCGTCGGAGTCGTGATCGAGTTCTGGGGGCGAGGCTGAGTGCGAGGTTGTGAGGTGGAGTTGTAGGGATGCATAATCTTCTTCCTCGTCTTCCTCTTCTTCTTCGAGTTCTTGTACGGAGGCAGTTATGGTGTGTGAGTGTACGCGGTGGAGAGTTGGCATTTCAATGTCTTCATCAGAATCATATTCCGAATCGCTATCACTGGAATCGGCGTCCTCGGCTTGCCAATCCTCCTCGGGGTCCTCGACAATCGTGTCTGCCCATTGAATATGTTTTTGTTCTTGCGAAGTCGAGGTCTTTTGTGCCTTGTTGACGGATTGGTTGAACCAGCTCTCTTGCTCTTGCTCTGCCTCTGCCAGGTCAATCATGAGGGAGTCGAGAAGGTTGGCATGGCCGACGAGAAGGCGGAGGTTATGATCAGCGCGGGCAGCTTCAGATGAAAGCTTGCCCCGAGCGGTATGGGCCAGGTAGTATGTTTGAGTAACAGACATGGCTTTTCTCTTGAGAGGTGATACTGAGGAAGGGTGAAGTGGTGATCTGGAGGAACTCGACATTGTGAATGGGAATGTTGTTGTTTTGTATAGGTGTGTATATGACTCAAGGCAACAATTTTTTTAGACGAGGCCGAGGATCGGTGACTGACTCTGGGCTGCAGGGATGGGAGCGGCAAGACGGATGTTTAGTTTGACTTGATGAGTGATGACTGTTGAATTTGGGTGGATAGATAGATGGATCATTGATCTTTAGACTTTTGACTGAAAGTATCGAAGACTGAGATGGATGTTATTGAATGTTGGAGTTGTTGTGTGAGTATGAGATTATGGATCTGATCAGGAGGAGGCGGCGTGTTCTTGTATACAGCTGACTTTGGTACGAGACACCTCAGCGACAAGGGTTCAACAGGGCTGATTCATAATTAAACACCGATTGCTCCGCTCCGTAGGGACGGTAAGAGACTGGAGCTAGGACTCTTCGTAAGGCCGCGAACAACGAGGACGAGTAGGATGAAAAGGACGAAAAGGACCATCACATCCCTGCAAGAGTCATGATGCGCATCACTTCGCTCTCTTCTCGCTTCTTACCAATTTCCTCATCGGTCAATGGTTGTCCCCGACTCTTCCACCGCTGCGGAAGCTGAGTAACTTCAAAGTCCGTTCCATATATCCACCACCCGTATCCAATCAACGCCATGCCCAAGTCTTACCTCCGAGCATGATGCGACAAAGACATGGCATTAATGGATTTTACTCACTTTTGGTGCGCGCGATGTTCTTGATGCCGGATTACTCACGATTCCAGTGGGAGAGGGATGACAAACCCACGAGGACGATGATTTGATTTCTCCGCATACTCTTTGTTACAAAGCATCAAGTTTATTAAACTATGTTCCATTTCATTCCAGATCCCATCCTTCCATGCGCATGAAACGCAATATTTCAATTAAACCCAGTCTCACTCACTTACTGCACAGTGCACAAGCCTAATCTTCTAATACATTGGCAATTACAAACAGGACACCTAATATTCCATTACAGTATCTTCATCTCATCACGTACCGCAGATATCTACCTAACCAGCCGTCCGTCACACAGCCTCCACAGCCCACGAAACAAACAGCGTAATTCATCGCATCCATCCTTCCATCCATCCACCCAGAACAGAAAGCACATTGTAGCGTCGTTGATCCTCCAACAAGAGCTGTGCTGTGCCTTGTACGCGACGCAAAGCCAACCAGCCAGCGGCCACGTCTCTGTTCTGTTCTCCAGGCGACGGCGTAGAGTACGAGTATCGTAAATTATCTTACGTGCGTGCAGTGCGTGCGCCGTGCACGAATAACCTTAAGCCTCAAACTTAAATTATCTGGCAGCCTGGATCTGAATCTATATCCACATCTCGGCTGCGCACGTAAGCACGCAGAAGAGCGGGATGGGATGGATTACTGATGGTGACTCTGTCTATATCCTATTGCGGTAATCGATGCTGTTGGATGCACTGCCATACTCTGCATATCAATTAGATGGTATAACAGTACAGTACCTACCTAGCCTTAATTCGGGACATTAATTCGACTCATCCTCCGCGCCCTCCTGCCTGCGATGAACTCCTTCATTCTCTTTCACAACTCGGTACCGTACACGTCGGACATCAAGCACAGCGAATATCCGACCAACCCCGCAAACCCGAGATCATCATCATCTGAGTATAAAGAAAGTCCCCGCAAACGCCTTACCTCTTCCTCGTGCTCCCGAAACCTCTGCTGTAGCAAGATTACAAGCCGTTGTAATCAGGTACTGTATATACCGTATGATTCCCCTCATCATAAACTCAATACCGTACTATACCCCACCAACTCAATCACAAGACCTACACTCATATCCGCGCGCTCCGTCAAGTACAATACAGTAATGACCAGATCTCTTAACCCCTCATCCGAACAACCAGAATACCCATCTCCGTAGCCTTTCCATCCCTTCCCTTCCCTCCCGTCTCCATTCCAAAAAATAAAAAAAAAGACTCCAAAAAAAGAATTTCAAACACAGAACCCCGAACTCCGTCCCACTTAATCAAAACAAGCTCTTCTTTCTTCCCTTTCTTTCTTAATAAGCATCCCTTCCCTTCCCGTAAACCAACCAACCTACGTACGGCCGAACCATCGGTCTTTACCCAAACCCCGTTCTTATACGAACCAATCAGCGTGCTCTCAGAACGAGTCTGACATAACCAAGCACACCTACTCTAAATTTCCTTTATTTATACGCTTATGGAATCATATTTCCGTCCTAACTGTACTGGACCGGTGCATGCACGATACCTCGGCATAGCTGACTTTTTTCCGCCGGAAATGCGGCGGGATGTGAATTCAGAAGGGTACTACTATGGTAGTATACTGTACTCGAGTGTAGGTATGGTAAGTATGCGTGCATGTGTGAAGGGAAGGAAGGGAAGATATATCATCGATACACTGTCCTATTAAGCTTATATCGCGACCCCCGGGCCAAAACAAAGAAACCCTTTCTTCGTCGCGTCGCGAATGGTATCTATCTTCATGCGGATATTGTACGCGAGCCCCACCTCCTTTCTTTCTTTCTGATTTTCTTTCGTTTATCTTTACGCCGCAAACTACCTATTCGGGAACTTAAATACACGAGTAGGATTGGAAACTCACAGAATAAGCACACAGGCTTTGGCACCCAGGCCGATACAAGACAATCATGTCTTGAAGAACCCAGTCTTGATGGCACCCAGCCCATAGATACACAAGTATCAAGTTTTGCAAGTTCAAGAACCAAACGGGTTCAACCTAACTAATCGGAACCAATTCCTCGAATGCTCCGTCTTGACTTGCACACAATATTCGGAGTCACCACGAAGACAAATCTTACATCGATCAGGCTGATCCTCGACGCGAGTTACAGCTTGAAGACCGTCGCAGCAGATTTGCTTTAGGCAACACCATTTTGTTCTTTTGTCATCTCGAATTCCAAAATACCCATCGATATTGTCAAGATGACGTTTTGTATCTCCAAGGCAACGAGTCAATTCCAGTCGAGCTACATCGAAATCAAAGGGGCCAGCCGGGCGGAACTTATGAAGGACCTTTGTGAGCCTCTGTACGCTTTCTCTGTATGCCTCCTTCTCTTTGTCTGTGCTCGAAAGGATATTTTGGGTTCGGTCTGACTCTGATGACTTGATTATCTTTTCATCCGCAGGTCTCTTCTTTGGTACTTCATTCTTCCCGGTCTTTCGCAAGGCAGAGATCCTTGGATGGATTGCCATACTCATCGGAGAGGATTGTGAAGTTTGGAGGTTCTGAAGCTGTAGTCGTAGCTGAATAACTTGCTCCTTTGCAGATTCCCCTTCACCCATTTTCTTTTGAAGGTCTTCCTTCTCCTCGATGAGCTTTGCTTTCTCTGTGGCCCAAGCAGCCTTGTCGATGCCGAATTGCGATATTTGTGGTTGTAATTCTTGCAATCTCTTTTCGGCTTCTCCACTTTTTTCTTGGAATCCTGAATCTTGAGATAACTGACGTTTGAGACGTGGGATTTCCACACTCTCTAGCTGTGAAACCCTGGAGTTGGCTCTATTCAGTTCTCGATTTGCGAATTCCGAATTTGCCTGAAGCTTGAGATTCTGATGATTAATATATTGATACTCATTATGAAACTCCTTCAGGCCTTTTTTATTTTCCAGCTTCAGATTCTCGACCTGGTCGTTCAAGTCTTTGATGATCTTGTTTCGAGAATCTGCTGAAAGCTTTTCGTCCTGATACTTTCGTTCCCATGACTTGGCTGTTGCTTTATGCTCCTCAGGGTCCTTGTTGAAAGAATTGATGGCCTTTTGGAGCTCGTTTTTGGCGTTATCGGCAGAGATAAGTGTCTTTCGAAGATTGTCAGAGCTGGCAATTGCTTTGCCGTTGCTGTTGGAAATTTTCTTCAATTCTTCGGTGAAATCTTGAAACTGTAGTATTGTCAGTAGCGAACATCATCATGAAATATTTTCATACCTTCTCTGGAAGTTGACTGATACCACTCTGCCATATTTTTTCTAATTTGCCCCACGCTATTGACTTTTTGGAAAAGTCCTTTTCGAGATCAGACTTCTGCTGCAAGAATCGACTTTCAATAGCATTAGCATTAGCATTGTCTTTCTCCTTGGTGAGTGCAATCTTTTCTTTTTCGATATCATTCCTAGTCAACTCGATATCCTTCTTAATCGACTCTATCTCTCTCGAGACTCGAGTCATATCTTTAGCAGCTTGGAATGCTACCTGGAATGCCCGAAGGACTTCATCCGTGAGAGAGATGGCTGAAATCCCATCATCTCCAAGAGCAATTCGAATATGATGTGAAGCCGATTGGATTTCCTGATTGAGCGACGTCAGATGATTGTTGATATCTATGAGCATTTCGTCTGCTGGTGCCCCTTGGTCGCTCATTTTTGCTGTTGCTGTTGGAGCGTTGCGTGTCAGCTTGAATCTTGATATCTTGGATTTTTGTGTAGACACAGGTGGTGAATGTATACATCCCGGTGCGTTCAAAAACTACAATCACGTGACTGATCCGCTAGTGACTTCCATTGTTTATATTGAATGTCAACTGCTGTTCTGAACTTTCGATCTTTGGCCGCGCACCACATCCACAGCGCAATTCTCCTCACGCTCTTCTCTTCCTCTCAGCAACATGGAGGAGAAACCAAAGATCTATAGCGCCGTGCCTTCGGAACTCATTTGGGAGAAGGCCCTAAACGAGCCTTATAATTATTCAGAAGAATTAGTGATGGGTAAGTGTATGGACTCAAGAGATCGGCTCAATCACCCTCGCTACAATGGTTTAAACACAAACCAAAGAATTTGGCAGGGAACGAAATGGCAATGGGACTCTCTATTTCCAGGAGAGGACTGGGTTGACCTGCCGTTCCCTGTCGGAAAGAAGAAGAGTGCGCCCTCTGCATCCTCTTCTAACAATAATGGCGGCAAAGTCATCGACAATGCCAGCAATTCGAATACTGCTCAAAATAGTTCGACTGCGCCGCCAAATCAGCAAAAGGTACAACC